GTGAATGAAAGTGCTTATAACTCCCATCAAGTGTATCCATGAGGTGCCAGCTTCAAAAAAAACCCAGCCTCAGAACTCACCAGTGCTGCTCACGGGACATGGGCCAGAGTTCATGGCAGGCCTCCCTCATGGCCACGTGCCTGGAAACGCGGAAGCCGATATGGAATGGGAGATGAAGAAGCCAACCCCAGATGGGAACTCTTTAGAAAATCGAATCTATGGCCCTGTTCATTCGTGATTCCCAGCTCTGGTTTGTGGCACTTGCCTCCGGCACCACTCACAAGAGACTTTTAGGCTACTCCTCAGTTTCTTTGCAAAGGGCTTTAATTGAAAACACATTTCTATGCCACATTTCTATACCACAAAAAAGCAACACAGCCAGGGCTGTGGCCCCCCAAAGACTAGAAGTCGTTTTCATAAGGCCATTAAGTTGCAGGTAAAATGAATGACTGCGGATGCATCACAATGTCTGTGCCTGGGTTGTGTAGTTGTGTCTTCTGCATCTGGATCTTTGTGATTCTCTCACTTGGGCGTGAAGAGTTGGACTAACCAGCAGAATCCCAAAGAGAAATAATGAAAACAATAATCCCAGCACTTTGGGAAGACCGGGTCGGCAGATCACCTGAGGTTAGGAGTTCAAGACCAGCCTGGCCAACATGGTGAAACCCCATCTCTAATAAAAAGACAAAAATTAGGCCAGGCACAGTAGCTCATGCCTGTAATTCCAGCATTTTGGGAGGCCAAGGAGGGGAGATCACCTGAGGTTGGGAGTTCAAGACCAGCCTGACCAATATGGAGAAACCTGGTCTCTACTAAAAATACAAAAATTAGCCAGGTGGTAGCATATGCTTTTAGACCCAGCTAATTGGGAGGCTGAGGCAGAAGAATCTCTTGATCCCGGGAGGTGGAGGTTGCAGTGAGCCAAGATCACTCCATTGCACTCCAGCCTGGACAACCAGAGTGAAACTCCATCTCAAAAAGAAAATTAGCTGTGCATGGTGGCAGGCACCTGTAGTCCCAGCTACTCAGGAGGCTGAGGCAGGAGAATCACTTGAAACTGGAAGAAGGTTACAGTGAGCCAAGATCTCACCACTGCACTCCTGCCTGGGCAACACAGCGAGACTCTGTCTCAAAAAAAAAGAAAAAGAGAGAAAAAAAAAAACAAAAAAACAAAAAAACAAATAGAAGACTGGCCTTTGGCTTTTATATTAATAATAAACACCATGACCTACTCTTCCAGCACTCTGCATCTTAGCCCTCATATAAATCTGTCCAGATCAACACCACTGTCATCACTTGTTAGCCGAAGAAACAAAGACTCAGAGAGATGAAGGAATTACCCCAGGACACACAGCAAGAGAGTCAGATGTGGGATCCTCCAAGCTCAGATTCACTCTACTGCCCCCAGCTGCTTCCTTTCTTGAAATCCTGCATCCAGCTGCAAGGCCCTCTGACCCCACATGAATCCACATCATCAGGGGGAAAAAAAAATGAACCTTTAATATCTGAAAAGCCATCTCCTGTAAAAAATTGCTTTTTACAGTGGGCCTGTCCAAGACCACCACCAATAGTGGAACAACTGCCCCATTCTGAAGAGTTCTGTGCTAAGACTCTGCAGCTGGCAAATGATTCTGTAGTGGGCTGAATGGTGCCCCCCCCAAAATATATATCCACGTCCTAATCCTGTTGAAACTTGTGTTGCTTTATATGGCAAAATATGTGATTAAGTTAAAGATCTAAAGAAAAGGGATATTTATCCAGAATTATCTAAGGAGGCCCTAAATATAAAACATGTATCCTTATAAGAGCAGGGCAGAGGAAGCTTTGGAACAGACAGAGGAGAATGCGATGTGAAGATGGACGCAGAGATTGGAGTGATGTGGCTTCAATCCACAGAACGCCAAGGATTACAGGCAGCCACTGGAAGCTGAAACAGACACAGAACACTGGAAGCTGAAACAGACACAGAGCCTCCAGAGCCTTGGAGGAAGCTCGGCCCTGCCACCACTTTGATTTCAGACTTGGTTTCCGAGGCTGTGCAAGAGCAAATTTCTGTTGTTTTAAACCACCACATTTGTGGTGATTCATTACGGCAGCCACAGGAAACATACGCCCTACTAATATGCAAACATCGTTGGCTAAGCCCCAATAGAGGCTGAAAGTGACATGGCTCCGTGGGTGAGAGTTATAGTTTCCCAGATACTGTTTCAGGGTCTCTTAGTAACAGAAAACCCATAGATTGACTCTTACAGATGAAATTAGAAGATGCTGTTTGAAAAGAAACTCTTGAGGTAAGAATAAATCAGAGAGAGAGGAAGTGCTGAAGAGCAAAGACTTGGCTGAGCATTTGGGAAACCGGAGCTTGGGCTGCTGAGGACACAAGCCTGGGAGAAAAGAAGTTCTGTCTTGGGTGGAGAGATCCTTCAAGTACCAATGACGTGTTGTAAGGCAGGCAAGCATGTGACTTGGTGACCAATATTTTGAATTTTAGAGAGATGGGCACCCTGGCTGGGTGACAGCACAGGGACTGCCCCCTGCCTTTCTTCTGGCCCTCGTAACAAGGGTACTGAGTGACATTCCAGCGTGGCCGAAAGGATGACGTCAGTCACCGCCACCCTGAAAGTTGTGAGAACACAAAACTTGGAAGCCTCATGGAAAGTTTGCATTTTGCTGCTTCTCACAATATGGGTGTTGAGTTGAACAACCTCTTTCCTTCAAAACATACATATTGAGCACCCCACTATGTGCCCGGCACTAAACCAAGACCCCGGAATACAGCAGTGAACACAAAAGCCACAATCCTCTCAACTTGGAGGGCTCTCCAGTGAAATGGGTTTCAACTGGAAGTAATTTTGTCCTCCAGGGGACATCTGGCAATGTCTGGAGAGGTTTCTGGCTGTCATGACTGGGGGGTGGGGAATGGGGGGAGGAGGGAGCAGGGGTGACAGGTTATCTAGTGGGTGGAGGCCAGGGCTGTTAACATCCTACAATGCAGAGGTCAGGCCCCTGCAACTAACAATTATCTAGCCCAAAATGTCATGAGTGCTGAGGTTGAGAAACACCGTGTGACTGGAGTGACCTAAGCAGATGACAGCCACTTTCGTGATGGTAGTTAGCGGGTCAAAGGAGACCAAAAGACAGAGGCCTGGAAGAGCACACAGGAGGGAGATGATCAACCCTTGAGGGTTTGGGACCATTTCCCCAACAAAGGGATGCCTTCCCCAAGACCTGAAGCATAAGGGAAGTTTTCCAGGCAGGAAGAGCAAAAATGGTTTTAGGTAAGCTTAACTCCATAGTCCAGCTAGAGAGGAAAGGGAGTGAGCCAGTGTGTGAGGCAGAGGAGGTGGAGGAAACAAGGAAATCCTCTGAAAGGACCATTCCCTCACTTCTGTTTTGAAGGGACGGGACATCTTCATTATGTGAGGCAGCAAACTTCGTGTTAGGAGCAGAGGCCCGGAGACAGACATGAATTTAAATCCCAGCCCCACCACCTCCTGTGTGGCCTTGGACAAGACACCTAAAACCCTCAGTTCCTAAATCTGTTTTCAGAAAATGAAGCCTAGGGTGGTGAGGAAGAGCGTCTACTTTAGGAGGTAGTGTTAGTATTAACTGAGAAAACGCACAGAAGTGGCTTGGCACACTGCCACAGATAACAGATACTGTTCTTATTTGTGTTTTCAAAGGTCACTTGGCCCAGTGTGCAAAATAAAATGAGGAAGGACAACCAGAAACACTCCTCCCTGGGAATACAGAACAAAACAAAAACAAAATGCCGAGATTTTACAGAACAAACACTTGCTAGAGGAAAGCAGTTTCCGAGGGGCTTTAAAGTCCTTGATGCGACACAGTGGTCACCTTGAGTAACCACAACGGCAACATGAACAGTCCCATGCCCATTGAAATCATCATCCTTTGAAGGTATAGATGTCCTAGATAAATGGAACAATGTGTCCATCCATCCAGCTGGTCAGCAAGAGAAATGAAGTCCAGGGGAAACCTTAGGAAGATCTGCATTGTGGCCCCTGATGAACTTGCGCTCTTACAAGGTTTGATACAGCCAGAAAACTTGGATCCCACATACGGCAAGACCCTTCCACACACATCTTTCAACTTGACCTGATTTTCTAAAAAGCTGCTTACTCAATCATCACTCACTGCTAGAGAAAGTGCAGTTTGACACCCTTGCGTCTCTGGGAAGTTAGCTGCTTTCATGTCCACGACCCTTAACTGTTAAGAATGCGCTTTCTTTTTTTTGAGAAAGTCTTGCTCTGTTGCCAGGCTGGAGTGCAATGGCATGATCTTAGCTAACTGCAATCTCCGCCTTCCAGGTCCAAGCGATTCTCTTGCCTCAGCCTCCCGAGTAGCTGGGATTTATAGGTGGGCGCCACCACGCCCAGCTAATTTTTGTATTTTTAGTAGAGATGGGGTTTCACCATGTTGGCCAGGTTGGTCTTGATCTCTCAACCTTGTGATCTGCCCTCCTCGGCCTCCCAAGGAGATTACAGGAGCGAGCCACCATGCCCTGCCAGGATGTGGATTCTTAAGTGCACTCTTGGTGGACTAAATCTCATTCACTAGAATTAAATTCTTTCTGCTTGATACTGTGAGAGGATGAGGAGGATATGTCAGGGCAACTAGTTTATAGCCTCCCAAAAAGTGCCATTTGCTCTGTAACTGTGCTTTCAGCAATGAACTACTGGGGATGGCACAATGAAATACTACAGAAGGCACACACCGAGGATCTCCTTTCATACTGATCATCTTCACTGCAAATGACACATTACGCAAACCAGATCACAAGGTATGCCAAATGGGCCTCAAGGATGGAGGGGAGGGGATCAACCCGTCAGAAGAGTCCAAGACCATGCTTTGGTATCTAAAGTCATCACCCACACACTAACCGCATGGTCTTAGGTTCCAACTTGGGAGTATGTTGTTCTTGATTTTGGTCCAGTTTCCCTAGGGATAAAAATTCAAATCACAGAAACAAGTGACCAGCCTTTATCTGCACATACTAAGTTGCTTTTATTAATCCAGAACGGCATGCTACAGATACTGTACAGCATGAACATTTATTCATTACAAAAATGGCTTCCAAACCATTAAAAATGAACTTGGAATAAGAGCATAAAACGGAACAGTAACATCACAACTGTTAGGAAACATTCAAAGTATTCACAAAAAAATGTTATAGTTAGCATTTTAATAAACCAGAGAAAAATCGGAGACAGTTTTACAATCGCTTCATGTCAACTACAATGGCACTGAATGAACAGGTTTCAGCTTTATACAGCATTTTGCAACATCAACATGCCTAGGTTTTTTTTATTTTTAAAGGTTGCTGCCTACTCGTATGTAATATGCGTACATAAAAGCGGCAGCTGGTTTTTCATTTAAGAGTAATCTAATATACAGAATTTTGGCCCTTAAGGGTTTATACCTCTTCATTTAAAATGCTTTCTGGACAATCTGCTACCAAACACATTTTGTTATAGGTGACATTAAAACTACATACAAACCTACCTATGTAACATCACAGCAAAACATGATGAACAAAAATTACAGCATCAAAAAGAGGGAGAAAGCTAAATTCACTGAGAATTTTGGCACATAAAGTTTTGCACACGGTCAGTCCAGGTCCTAAGGGCGCAGGGCAGGGCATCCCACTGGGAGTTGGAGTTGAAAGGGGAAACGCAGACGTTCCCACTGCTGCTCAGACAGTGTCGCTAAAATTCCCTCACTCATTTTCAAGTCTTGTTTTATGTAATGGCTTTTAAAGCAACTTTTGTTAATGCTACTGATCCTTAATGCAACTATTAATGTCCATTTGGTGACATCTGGGTTTCATACGGCAAAAAAAAAAAAAAAAAAAAAAAAAAAAAAGAAAAAAAAAGTCAAAAAGGGAAACAAAAATGTATATACACATTTTATATATATAAACTTAAAAACCTTGTACAAATGAGTTGTTATATATAAGATGCTTATGCTAAGGGGGAAAAAAACTTTATACAGTTTCAAGAAAAAAGAAAACATATTTAAAAAGGGACAACATACAGGTACAACAAGCAATCTCTAAAGCAATAAATACTACTGGCCCAACAGCATTGTGATTCTATTAAGTGTTGAGTAGCATCCCCTCCCCCCAAAAGAACAACACCATGGAACAAGGTATATTAACACATTTTAACCCTTTGTTTCTGTACATTTAAACAATAACAAGTAACATCACAATAAAAGTTGTTTCACACAGAAGAAAAAAAAAAAAAAAAAGGAAAGTAACGGCACAGCATTCATGGTGCCCTTACAGTTTAAAAACCAGATGTAAAATGATTGGTTCGCAAGCTCGTATTTAATACAAATAATACAGAACCAACTCCTTCTGGAGGGCTGCTTCAAAATTGCTTTTTTTTTCTTTTTGTTTTTTAATCAGTCTTTTAAAACTAAGCTATCCGAACTACATAACAGTTATGTATATATATATATACTTTTTAAACGCTACAAAGACTTTAAACAGCTGTTGATAAAAATTTTGGTAGAATCATGAGGTTCTTCTCTCATCTACATATTTAAAAGGAGAAATTGAAATAAGAATGGGTCAAATATTGACCAATGAACTCGATAAACATCAACTAATGTAGCCACGTGGCACAAAATTAAGAGAGTACAAAACAAAACCTTTAAGGTGGGGGTGAGGGGGCAGATAAAGAAAAGCAAAACGAAACCATCAATAAAGCAACCGAGGCTCACGACGCTAAAGCTATTCTAAAGACTTGGTGACGAGCGACAGCGGCTGGGGCTGCGTCCCGGCCAGGGAGCTGTGGGAATGTAAGGAAGAAGTCGACGGCTGTGCAATTGATGAGGGGGCGGCGGGCTGCAGAGCGGCAGGGGGCAGGTCCAGGGCCCCATTGGGACAGAGGGCGGAGGCCTTGTGGGTGGCCTCAGCGAGCAGGAGGGCGGGCGGCGGAGGCATCATGGACAGGTGGGCCAGGGGGTCAGGCTTCAGGGACAGCGACAGAGGCTGGGTCTGCTCAGTCTGTGACTTGGCGTCTCGGGGAGGGGAGCCTAGCAGGTTGGGGGAGGGGGGAGGCGAATCTAGTAAGCTTCCATCTGAAGAGGGTGGGCTGAGGCAGCTGCCTTCACCTTGTATGTAGCGAACGCACTTTTTTTTTCTCCTAGAAACAGGGGAGAGAGTTATGTGTGAATAGAAGGCACAGACGCCAAGGGAGAGAGTTACCTAACGCTCACACCCAAGCTGAGGTCACCTGAGGGATGTCCCACAGAGGTGGCATGCCCAGTGGTCCGAGGACAATTATGGTGGCGCCCCTGGGGGTGGGTCGCTCACTTCACGGTACCCAGATCTAAGACTGCACTGGCAAACCACATATTTCAGAGTCCGAACTCTCTACCTGCTTCCTCCAACCCCCACTAAACACCCACAGCCCCACCCTGCTCAAATATACAAGAGCAGGGTGGAGGCGGCCACCTGCAGCCAATGACACCTATTTGCCACAGTGGCTTTGTCCAAATTGAGATGAACGGAAAAGCTCTTTTGGCTTGGACAGACCCTCATTTTCCCATCAAGTTTCCTCGGCCCTCTACCCCCATCCCCACCACCACTCCCCATCCCCCAGTGATATGTGTGTGTGTGTGTGTGTGTGTGTGTGTGTGTGGTGTGTGTGTGTGTGTGTTTAAAAGAGAAAGACAGAGCTCCTTCCCCAGCCGCCTCGTATCAATATGAAACTCTCAAAATGCTCACTGTTGAGCCCACATAGCTGAAGGCAGAGCTAGCAAGAGGCTTAAAGGTTTTAACACACCACCACCATGAGGCTGCTGGCGCCCAGAGAGCTTTTGGGCTTGTCTGTTAAGAACCACACCAAATCAAGAGAGGTCAGAATCAGGTGAGAAGGGAGGAGGGGAAACAAAAATAAAATAAAATAAACTTAAAAAAACAAAAACAAAAACAAAACAAAAACCACCAAAAACAGGTAGAAGAGGATAAACAAAGGTGGGGGAGGGGGAAGAATAAGAAAAACAGAAAATGATTCAAAGGAACGAGAATAACTGGTTGTATGGCCTGCAGGTTGTGGATTAAATTAAGATTCAAACTTGATTTTTTTTTTTTTTTTTTTAAGATTTGGGGCTTTCCCCTCCCCCACCCCGTAGTGAGAAGGTTGGAAGGAGAGATGGTGAGGATGGGATGGATGGAGGGGCGTCCTGCCCTTGTCAATGGAGGGTGCAGCATAAGCCCGTCACCAAGAAGTGACGACAAAGAAGAAGTGCCAGGGAATCGCAGCATGGACCTTCCTGGGTTGGGGTTATTGTGATTCGTGTTTAAACCAGAAAGACTAATTTTGCCCTACACCAAAACCAGCATCTCCCCTCTTGGCTACTTGTTCATGTAAGAAATCGGAATGAGAATTTCAGAGCCTTTCTTGCTTAGCATCAAAGGATGAGGTTGGGGAAAATCAACTCAAGGAATTGAGCATGTGACTCTTCAAAGCTTCTCCTCCCATTAATCCCAGTCTGATGGGATGGTATTTGGTAAGGAAAGGTGAGTCTGGGGATCAACCCCACTAATGCTATAAAAATAATGCAGATACAGGAAGTGTGCCCATCTAAGGACCCTAGAATATCCTCAGAACCATGGCTGATAACACTCCAACTAGAAACACGTGTGTGAGCACTGGCCGGCTTCCTGCCACTGGAAGCAACCAAGATGCTGCCTGCTTGAAGGCAACCACTGTCAGACGATGTCACTGGCCTTGGAAAGGAAGGCTGTGCTGAGTTGCTCCTCTTGGTCTGTGCCCCACAGCTGTCTGATCATGCCCCTCCGTGCGTGGGGTCTGGGCTCAGCAAGATGGCAGGAAGGCAGGAAGGAGGGGAGGGGTGGAAGGGAGCATGCTCAGTCCTCCCTGCCTCCCAGAGGCCAAGATTCATGGGGGTTAGTGGCCTCAGGTTCTCTCTGTTCCCCTCTGGGTCACAAGGAACTCTAGGGGAGCAAGCACCACCCCCTCTCACCCTCAATTTGGCAAGGTTCCTCTTTCTCCCTGGGAGAGAGTAAATAGACTACAGGTTCTGCTTCCATCCCAGAAACCAAGATAAATAATTAAGTCTCTCAGAGTTTTAAACCACCTTAGCCTGCAGATCAAAACATGCTCAAAAAACTAAGATGTCCATGCATTTTAAAAATGGGAGAAGGTAGGGGTTGGGGGTGGGGGGAGGGCATAAGCAAAACTGAGAAAGCAACAGAGAAAAACAGAGAGGAAAGGAGAGGGAGAAAGAGAGAGGCGGGGACAACAACCAGAAGGACCGGGAACGGCATCAAGCAGCATTCCATGCTATATTATGGCAGAGGGAAAAGATGGGAAAAGCAACTTGGTGGGCTCAAAACAGAATCTTGTTAAAATGTCCACAAATGTCAAATGAAACTAGAAACCTCGTGTGGCAAGCTAGGAGCCCTGATTGGCTAGGAGCGTTCTGGTGCTTCCCTCACCCCTCCCACCCTCCTTATGTCGTGGAAGTTTCTAGATCAAAGGAATGAGAAGGGCATCTGCAACACGGGACATGACTATGGCGACAGAGCAATGGGTCTTTCTAAGGTGGCTGGGCACAGGGCAGTTGGCACACACACATTTCTGACGAGTCAGAAAATGCCTCGGTTGGCAACTGCTTTTCTTTTTTCTTTTTTTAAGTACATTTTGTTCTATGGGTTTTAGTCAACCCAGGGGTGGCCACAGCCAAGTTAAAAGTAAAAGTTGAGGCAAAAAAAGTTGAGGTGCCATACTCTTAGCACCCCCAATCTACGGTTCATCTTGATTCAGAGGGGTGGCCTCTTAAAAACCCCATTCTAGCTTCTTCTTTATTCTGAAAGGAAACTAAGGGTTCTTCCTAATCCTGTTTTGGAATGAAATCCTTTAAGGACAGCAGAAATGCATTTGCTAATCATTCCACTGTAGGGAAAAGTCACCAATGAAGAAAAATGTCCACTGGGAAAGTCTGAACACTGCTGAGACTGGAAAGAAAACCAAGTAGAGACAGGGGTCTGGGAAACTCTGGTGCCTAGTCCAGGGGCTCAGCATCTACAGCAGAAATGATGCCATATTGACCGTCAGCCCCTCCAAGATGCATTTTAGAAAACCATGCTGCTAAAACAGGAAGCAGCTACAAAGGTTTTGGGTTGGCAGATTTTAAAAAAAATATCAATAAAATTCTGGCCTCTGAAGATACACCTAGGCTGTAAGCAAGGTGTAAGCTATGCCCAAGTCGGGGATGTGTATTTGGGTCAATGTTAGGAATAATTTCCAAAAGGAAAAAAAAAAAGTCTGACTTGTGGCAACTGCTTCCAAAACAGAAACAGGATTCATAAACTACCACCCACCCCCATTAATAACATAAACAAACCAAGTACCTGAACCGGCCTTATTGTGAGGTGTACACAATAGTGTCAGTTGTACATTTCTACAGATCATGAGAAACCCTCTCTTTTAGTGACTCCTGTGGTTAACCAGTCACTGGCCATGGCAAGGTATCCCAGAACAGGCTTCCACAGCTAGTTATCTTCCCACCTGGTACAAGTACAATTGTGACAAATTCACTGCGTAACAGAGTCCCTGTCCTCCCTGGCTCATCCTAATTAAATACCTAACGTCCTCCAGCAACTTGATCACAAAACTTCTTTCTGTTGTGCAGAGAGGACACCAGGACTGTGTCAAAGGGACACGTGTCAGCTCTGCGAACGCTACCATATCACAGAATGCCTGGGGAGTTCCTCTCCTGCCAGGTGTTCCACTAAGCCCCAAAATCCCTCATTCCATGGGCACAGGGCTGTCTGTGTGGCTCCCTCTCACTGAAGACTGTCAGTCCCTTTCTCCTCTAACATGTGCTGGGTCAACAGGAGGCACTTCACCCATCTCTCATATTGGCATCAGAGAAGGGGGGAAGAGACACAGGAGACTCGTGGGCATGCACGAATGGGATGCACATCTGATCTAATGTCTAAACACGGAGCACATGGCAGAGTCATGGAGGGGAGGGACACGTGACGAGGGAGGCACTACAAACAGGGAAGCGTGTTTGGGGTGTTGAAATACCTACCATCATAATATTCCAAATTCAAAGACTGCTTGTATCAGAACAAAGAAACAACAAATTTAACCAAAGGTGGTCATTAAAGGAAAGGGAATGAGACAGGAGCTAGTCGGTATCCCTCCACCAAGAAGGAAGTACCTATGCTTTCCCTGAGAACGCAGGCTGGATGGAGACCTGCAGGTGGAACGTGGGTGCTTAATTTGGACCCTTCTGGGCTGTTCTGATTGCTTTTGGAACCAACGCTCTATACAAACATATATTTGGTTAATTCTGCAGGCCTAGCGACACTGCAGTCTGAGGCCGCATGACTCACTGCTTGCAGCCCCTTTAGCTGGTGCATGCCGTTCAATGCCACGCTTCTTTTTCAGCACTGTAAAACAATGTCAGCTAACCAAGCTCCTCTGTACAGACAGGTGGTTTTTAAACATAAAACAAAACCAAAAAGGAAAAAGAAAAAGGGAAAGAAGCGGCCTACCCCAGAGCCCTTCTCTGTGTGTCTCGACTCTAAGTGCACAGGAATGCAATTGCTGCCACGTGTTAACGCATTGGAACCTTTGGAAATGGTGGCTCTCTATGCTCAGTACCCGGGCCACCGAGGCATTCATAGGGTCAGGCCAGCTCCAGGATGCTGGCTTTCAAAGCAAAAAAGATAAGTGCCCCTCCTTGTTTGTTTAAGGCTGTGGTCTCAGTACTGCCACCGGGGATATATTATTCACGAGAGCAGGGAGGGGGAAGAGAGCAAGAGAAAGTGGGGAGAGGAAACGGCATAAAATTAGCAAGGAAATTTTGAAGAATGAGGATCATTAGTCATTGATGCCGGAGGGAAGTAGATGGGAACGAGGTCAAAATAAATTGTCAAGCTAAGGTACCGGAAGGACAGAATGCTTTGATTTTCCCAAAGGCCTCGCAGTGGTAATATACCTGCACGGTTTGCACCATAAAGTCTGTCGGTCAAGCCCGAACAGTGCCCGACACTTCTTTGGAGTATTTGCATCTGTTAGCATAAGGTAAACACAAAAAATACAACACAATGGTGGGTCGTGCTCAGTTGGATGTGAAATCTCAGCTACAGTTTCCTTTTCTTCTCTATCACCTTGGTTCTACTTGATAACCTTCCCTCACCAAGGACATGAAAGGAAAGGACTTCTATGAGTCAAAAGAAAAAATAAAACAATAAAACATACACACAAAAAACAACAACCAGAAACCAAAAAACAACAATGAAAAAATAAATAAATAAAAAGAGAGAGAGAAGAGGAGGGGAGAAGGTGACGTCATTTGCTTCTACCTAGGCCAGGATTCCCAATCCTGGGCTGTCACAAGGAAGGGAGGTGGGGCGGCAGGAGGCTGGCAGGTAACATTTCCTGGGAGGGGGCGCGCTAGGGTTTGCTGTTGCTGACCCGAGGAGGCACGAGCGATGCTGTTTTACAGTGGCATTTTGGCTAGCAGCAGCAGGAGAACAAGCACATCCCTCAGAGAGCCCATACATTTGGCAGTGTCCCACTCCCCTGTGTCTCCTGAGATCCACACACAGAGCTACAAAGCAACAGGCCAGAGAAGGGGGAAAGGACCGAATAGACCAGCTGCAAACCAGCACAGCGAATCTGGGAAACTATACACACCTGCAAGGGCCGCACCAGTTATTCTGTTGATCAAGGCCAAAGCGCGCTCGGCATTTCTTAGGAGCGCTCAGGTCTGAATGAGTTCAAGAGAGAAGCGAGCAGAGGAGGAGGAGGAGGAGAACGTGGGAGAAAGGGAGAGAGAGAGGGAGAGAGAGAGAAAGAGAGAGGGAGGGAGGGAAGGGGGGGAAGAGAAAGATACAAATAAGAAAAAAATAAAAATAAAAAAGGGAATAAATCAATGACCTGGTTACTAATTGCAAAATATTGACTTTTGTTTTTTAACTTTCTTTAATTAAAAAAAAAAAAAAAGGTAAAAATCACATTCTTATTCAACTTTTGAAATTAGCTGTTGCAAATAAAGCTGCAGTATCCCTTCTTTAAAGACTGTCTCTCAGATTTGGTTTGAGCTGACAAAGGGAAGTTAGATACCGAAGAACTCACTCTACTCAATATTTTTCCTCTTTTAGTTCTGCTTTCCCTTTTTTTCTCTCAATTTTTTTTTCTCAAAGAAGAAAATAAAGCGAAGGAGGGAATTAAGTTTGTAACATGCTTTTTTCTTCTCAGAATAGTTTAAAAAAAGAAAAAAAATTACAAATAAAAACAGAACAAAACGAAACAAAATAGAAAGAAATAAAGAAAGAAAAGTGTTGTGGTACTGGGATATTGCAGCTTTTGGAATGTTCGTCTTTTTTAAAATCTATTTTCATTAATATTAAGAGAGGAACAGATAAAGGTAAACAGGCTGTGTGAATGAGCTGTTAGGAGTTAGTTAGAAGCTCACAGCAGCATTTAAGCAGGCACAGTCAGTAAAATGCTAGTGGATTTGCAAATTATGAGCAGAAAAGCAAAAGGAAGAAAAAAACTAAAATAAAAAAAAGCAAAGGAAAAAATAATCATACTGCGGATGCATGCTTGCGTGAGAAAACTTAGTGGGAGCAATGAAAAAAATGCCATTAGATTAAGGAGGTTTATTACTGAATTCCTTCCATTTTTTTTTAACCAGTCTCTTTTAAAGAAATACTGCATATTCAATTTGCACAGTTAGTTCAACTCTAAATCACTGTCATCACTGCTTAAACAATTGTTATGGGAAAAATAAATAAACAAAACAAAGGTTAAATTAAATTAAAAAAAATAAAAACAACAGAAGCAACTGAAAAAAAAATCTACCGAAACATACGAAACCGTGTTGATGGTCATTTTAAAGAATGTTCAAATGTCATACGTGTTTAAATGTTAATAAAACTATAATGGCAAGAAAAATTAAAAAACAGTTTATCAACTATTTTAATGACTCAAAATGACATTAGCACCTGTAATCGGAGGAAGTGAAAGGCAAGGATTTAGGAAACATTCGCTGTGTTCTGAAAAAAAAGAACAAATTATACAAAGCCTTCAAAATTTTTGTTTGTTTGTTTGTAAAAGCCTGGCCTTCTTCAAGGGACCTCTGAGATTGCCTATGCAGTATTTCTAATTTCTTCTAGAGAATGACAAACCTCCTTAATTTAAAATGGGTGTAATTTACCACTGTAAAGGCATGCATCAGAACATTCAGGAACAGCCCAGTTAATATCAAACACTCACACACACCCCCTCCTACGCCCCTAGGCCCCGCCACCTCCTCATCCCTTCTCAGGCACATACAAAATAAGCAGACTGTATAAATCCCGGCATAGGCATGCCTACCGCTTGCTCTCCAGTTACAGGCTTTGCAGTTATTTAAAAACACATTCCACTAGAATTACAATGTGCTTTTCATGCAACAATGGATGTTACTAGCTTTAAAAGGGCAGTCATAAAGCAATTAATTAAAATGCATAAACAAAAAGGTTGGCTAAGATGGGTTCCCCCACAATGTCCTGGCCTTGAATTTCTCCTGCCTCCCCCAGATGAAAGCCTAGCATAAAAGGGTGGTCCTCGGGCTACAGCTCCTTCCTCTAACCTGATTATTGTGACTTACCATTGGTCTCTCCCGGCTGCTTGTCCCTTTTCCTCTTCTTCTTCTTCCCCTAGATGAACAGATGAAACACAGCAATTATTGCAGGAAACAGGTGAGAGAAGAGTGTCTGGGCGCACCTGGCAGGAGAAGGCAGGAGGAAGTGACCACACTGCCATCTCCATCCACATCAGCCCTCCACATCTGTCCAACGTCCGACTCCTTTCAAGCCAAATGCCCTTGCATTGTACTCCAGCTGGAGGGACACATGCTTTTTGGGAGAAGAGAAGGGATCGGCGGGTGGTGAAGGAAAGCTCTCATTTCTCATGTACCTATGTCCGCTGTCAAACCTGACCCACAGCATTTGATCCATTTAAAAGGGAAGGGAGGACTGCATGAGCAGATTCAGAGAGGAGTGGGATGACGGCAATGCAAGCAGCCTGAGAGCCCATCTTTGAGGAGCATACGACGGCGCTCATGGCTGCACAAGCTTCAACGGCTGCCCTGCCTGACCTGCTCACATCTCTTGTGAAAGCCAAAGGGTCCCATTCTGAATCAAGAGAATGAAAGCTTTAGCAGGGGCTTCTCTTAGAGCTGGTTTTTAAAGATGGTGGAGAAAGGGGTGAAATAGAACCAGGGATCATCTGGGCTCCTTTCACAACTGCTGAGTGGGCCGGGCGCAGTGGCTGATTCCTATAATCCCAGGACTTTTAGAAGCTGAGGCGGGAGGATCCCCTGAGGTCATGAGTTCAAGGCCAGCCTGGCCAACATGGCAAAACCCTGTCTCTACTAAAAATACAAAATTAGCCAGGCGTGGTGGTACATGCCTGTAATCCCAGCTACTCGGGAGGCTGAGGCAGGAGAATCGCCTGAATCCAGAAGGCAGAGGTTGCAGTGAGCTGTGCATGCTATTGCAACTACAGTTGGATGACAAGAGTAAAACTCTGTCTCAAAACAAAACAAAACATAAACTGCTGAGTGAACATCTATAAGAAAGAAGACGTTCCCTCCATTCTCTTCTACCTGACATAATGAGGATGATGCCGCTCCTACCACAGATGGCTCACACATATTGAGCGTATGCCAGGTGCTAGGCACGATTCACAGATGGACTCATTTCAACCTTCACAACAACCCTCTTCAACAGGTTTCACAGGGGGAAAAACTGAGGCCCACCGGAGTTAGGTAAGTTTGCCAGGGTCACACACCTAGCAAGCGGTGAGGACAGGAGAATGCTCAGGTGTTCTTGGCTCCAAAGCCCTCAACCACAATGCTCTGCTGCCTTCAGGTTCAATGCCCAGCCCTCCAAGGAAGCTCTTTCTGTGACGGGTTTATAGGATGAACTGCATGGAGTCATTCATATTCTCCAACCTGATACTCCTTGGCATCCTGATGGTCTGCTCGAGGTGACAAATGTGGAAAGGGACTAGGGAATTCAGGAGAGCTAACTGCCTCATTCCAGATTGAGCTAGTTCTCCCTCCCCTCCTATCCCTACCAACATGAAGTAGCTGCCAGGTACACATCGAAATGAAATGGCCTTACTCTTCTATATGTTCCAGAACAGCTAAAAGTTGCCTTTGCCTAAAGCTTCTCACAGTAGGTTGACGTCAACTCGGAAGAGAAAAAGACAATGACAGGTAGAAAGAAACTGGAGAACACATTAGTCTCTGTTGGGAGAACCTTGAGGCAGTGAGGTACCAAGCTTAGGCTCCACCCCAGGGCTGAGGGTCATCTGCTGTAGAGATGACATATCTTTTCTCTGAGGTCAGGAGGCCTGTGCCACTGAGAGCTTTGTTTTGGCCTTCCATCCAGGGTTCTAGTTGAAATGTGCTATGTTCCTTTGTGTACAATTTCTTTTGAAAGGACTTCATGTGCTTTATCATGAAGTTGGCATCTCATGGGCCAGCAATGAACCATCTCCGTGGCCGCGCCTCTCCCACGTGAGGGGCAAAGTGCCACCTGGCTGTCCTGAAACAGGCAGGGGGAGCATAGTTTGTTTGTCTAGGGACCTGAAGTATTCATAAAGACCAGGCACAGAAATGTTTAAACTGCAGGGAGTATCAGCATCCACATACCCAAGGGCTTCTCAGCCATGTGTGAAAAAGTGTCCCCATTTCCAATTCCTTGCAATATACTGTGAAGGCATCTGAACATTCCTCTACCCATGAGGAAGCTGTCCCTTTAGGATATAGCACAGAGATGGTGACTCCTGAAGAAGTTGTCATTTATACTAAAGGCTTCTGGAGGACAGGGACTATGTTTTAGTAAAAAGACGAGAAAGTGGGTAAGCCCTACTCTCAGTGAGGAGACAGACGCATCTCCAGGGAGGTGGCCACCCTATTACCCCTTTTAAATGTAACAGAAGAAAGAAAGGGCCATTATAATATAGGGTGGAAGAAAAGAAACTCAAGTGAGGAAATGGCATAGGACCTCTATCCTTTACCTAAGGTAGAAGGGTTAGAAAGGAAATCATGTTGAATACAATCCCAGGTTTAGATATTACTATTGGACCCAAAGTGTTTTCTCTCCGGCTCTAGAGAACGTGCCAAGTCTGATAATCCAAATGTGACTTTCACTTGATCCTGTTTTCCTAAGGTAGAGATAGAAAGGCTTCCGTTACCAATTGGCCGGAAGAGCAGGAATGTGAAAGAGGCATGAGGTGAGCTCAGGAAATATTTTCCAGAAGAACCTTTTGGAGTTTACAATGATCAAAGTAATTTATGGAAATGCTTATGTCAAGTTAAAAAAAAAAATAAGAGTATTTTTTTTACCACATTCAAATCCATAAAAGCTTCAATGCTGCGGTTCTTAGCCCCAGTGTTCCCTAACGCAGGAAAGGAAGGAGTGTGAGTGTGTGTTCACACCCATGTGTAATGAGCCATTATAGTTGGAATCTAAGTACCTCTTACAAGAGATCAAGTTCCTAGAGTCCTAAATCCAGATCTCTAAACCTCAGATCGTCTCAGGATTCCCTTATTATACCAAACCATCTTCCAAATTTAAAACTGAGCTAAAGTCATTTCGAGTGCCTCACAGCCCTTCTGAAACCCAGAAAATATGTCACAAAAAGCCTCGAGCAATACTTTCTCTAAATGACTCCCCAGCAAGTCAAACACAGTATTCGTTTGAAGATATCACAGTCTGCCTTGTACCTTTGTGGAGATTTCACCCTGCACAACTCCAGGGGGCACCATTCACACAGACCCCAGTGTAAATGACATACTCTAGAGTTGTGCAGTGCACGCCCTGCACAGCTGTACATGAAGGCCCTACTATGACCCAAAATATCTACTGGCAATATGATCTCTATAGAGAAGCTGAATTCCTCTCTGTGTTATCTTTCTAGATTACTCAAAGAATTGGGTCTGTAGCAGGTAGAAGCTCTAGATGAACTCTAAGAACTTCTGACCTGAAACCAGGAGAGCGGCTATCCTGAAATGCCATGGCTCTGTGCGTGGAGGCTATGGAGCCTGCCTGCTGCTGGAAATCTCCACCTCAGGGTCAGGTGGGGGTGAACAGCAAGCCTGTAGGAGGGCATTTACTTTCTCATCCTCTTCCTTTCAGCTCCAGAAGAAAGGCTTCCTTACTGCACACATGCTGGGGACAAACGGAAAGGTCCCAAGCAGTGAAGACCCCGTGCAAGCCCATCTGCTGGTGACAAGGGCTCTCAGCAGAGCACACATGCCATCTGAGAGATGCCGGCACTCCTTCCTGATTCAACCCCCAGGAGGAACACGGTTTAGCACTGCCAGCTAAGGGCGGTGGGGCCTGGAGAAAGATGGGTAGGGGTACCTCCCTTCTCCCTCGTCTACACGGCAAGCATGTGTTTAAACGTATGAGAGGAAAGAGGAAGGAAGCCTGAAATCGGTCATCAGTGCAGGCAGAAGCAGCCCCTCCTTGGGATCACATATGCCCGCAGATGTTTGCAATTTCCTGGCGGATGCTATGTTCTGAGGGAGTAAAGACGTCCGTTTTAACTGTGAATCCCTGTAACAACTTGTGCACAGTAAGTGCACCCTCAATTCAGTAGTAATTTAACGACCTCAACCCCCATACATAGAGCTGCTTCACCACAGATGATGCTAGCGGGAGAGTCAAAAGCAACTGGCAAAGTAGCCATCCACGGCTCCATGACATCAACAGGAAGGGGCGACAGGCCTGTGCTGGCCTTAAGACAAGTTTTGGTTTTCCCCTAAGAGTGGATGGTAAAATCGCTTCACAGAACCAGATGTCATGAAACAAAGTATCAGACAAGACAAGAGGCATTTCATCCACCTGGAGAGGAAGGTGCCGGGAACTGGAGTTACTGGTCAAAATGTGGGCAAGTCAAACATGGTATTCATTTGAAGCTATCACAGCTCTGCACAACTCCAGGGGGCACCATTCACACAGACCCCAGTGTAAATGACCCCAGCAGTGGTGAGAAGTGACAGAAGTCTCCAGAGGACAGCGTGCTCATGGGAGGAGAGGAATCGTGGGGTCACGACCGCTGCAATTGGTAAAAATCATCATCCCACGGTGTTTCCTACAACCCAAGAGAGGACTAGGCAGACCCTGTAGCCCACGCAGAGCTCAGGAACACACACACCATAACACACCTTTCCCTGCCCCTGCTGGGCCCAGAGTCAGTTCATGCATCCTGCCAAAGGCTGACTTCTTCTGGCTGCTTTCAGGGACACTCCCATCATGCTCCTCTCAGGATGAAACAGGCTTCTAAATTCCAATGCACCATGGCATAAAGCAATCATTTTGTTTTTCCTGCTGAAAGGCCTGGGAGGAATTAAACTCTCTTCCTCCATAACTAGCCCCTGGTCTTTCCTAGAAGACCACAGCACTGATCACTGCTGAGGAGCTTGAGGAACCTAATCTGGAACATAAGGTCCTCTGGGTGTATCCTAGAGCCCTGCCTCCTCTAAGAAGTGGACAAGCACCAAATCAACCTCATTGGTCCTGATCTACAACACTGGGACCGCAGCCTCCTCCCTCTGCCCTGAGGAATGACTGTGAGCTGACACACCCATCCATACTGGAAGCCCCTCCCTGCAGTTTGGTGATCCAGAAAGATGCTACTGGTCCCCAAAGTGGGCAGACTGGACAGTCTTGAGGCCCACCCCAGTCAAGTTGGCAGGTCCTGTTTTCTTTGTCCAGACAGACGCACAACACAGCTCTACAGACTCTAATCCTAAGGAAAATGATCCACCTACATAGTTATCCCGTGCAGACCAGCCGGGGTACAGTTGCATATGAAGCTGTCGCTCCTTCCGGGCCAGCTCGTAGTATTTCGCTTGCTCTTCTCTGGACAGTGCATGCCACTGGAGGGGACACAGAATGCAGACAAGAAAGACACAAACAAAGAGAAGAGCGTGAAAAAACATCACACACGACGTCAAGGGCAGGGAATAAATAATGCTGCTTTTTGGGGTGAGTCCGTCCACAAATGGTATAATCTGTGGATACTGACCGTTTGCTGGGTCCTGGCACTAACACGAGTGTTTAGACAAAACTTGATTTGTTATCTATGTCATTCTGTCATTTGCTCGCTCTCTTAGGTGGGGGAAGAGTATGGCTGTGGCTGTTCTGAATGATGTCTGAGCCCAGAATAACTCGTCCTGACTCAATGAAGGCCATTCAAGGATTCAGAATGTGACTGAAGAGCAAGAATTCTCCAAAGAAATGGGGACAGAGACATTCTGCCACCTGACCTGCTGCACCCTGGTCCCTTCCTCCCCCGCTTCTCCCTGGGAAGCGCATCCGTCACCTACCCTCCGCCCAAGGATCTGGTTGATGGCCGCGCTTTCTTTCAACGTGCACTCGGCTACGACCTTTGCTCTCATTTCCTTCATATACAACATGAATGCATTAAGAGGTTTCTTTATGTGGGGCTTCTTCTTTTCTTCTTCCTTTTTGGAGTCCTGATGCTTTCTGGAGAGAGACAAAACAGACGCAACCCAATCAACGAGGTCACGGTCCAACTTCCTCCACGGCAGAGAGTCTATCTCCTTGCCTGCTAACCCCCGAGCCTAGCAGTTTTGGGTGAAAAAGTATGCCTGTAGTCTTCTTCACCCCGAAAAATGGAACAAAAATAGCTTGGGGAGGGGTTGGGGGAAGGGAGATGATTTTGCAATCACTTCCTCAAGTTTCACAAATATATAATTTTGCCAAGCCAGAGGGGAAAGCAGCGTTGCCGTCTTCACCTTGGTGGGGTTCTCTCGTGCTTGCAGAACAAAGCTCCAAATGTTCGATTATGGGGTTAGGGGGCAGGGAAGTGGTTGCAAATCCCAGTGCATTCAAGAACACATACAAAAAACAGTTCTGTTCTAACCCGCGGTGGTGGAGTGAGCCTCTGCCACTGTGCACTCTCTCTCTCTTTGTAAGGGAGCACAGAACCCACACGGGCTGGGTATTGGCTGGAGTCAAACCAAATGAGGCCAACCTTAGGCAGAAAGCCACGACCCAGCAGCTGCAACAGGCCTGCGGACCACTGCAGTGACGAAGAAGGTGAGAAAAACAGCAACACTTACGAGCTATGGAGTGAGCCGACGTCACTCTGGGACGATTCCTGTTTGACTGTTGGCGTGACTATGGCCGGATGCGGAATGCCCGTCGTGTGTAGCGTATGATGTGGTGGGACCATATGGGGAGGGAACCTAGAAGACAGAAAGCTGTGTAAATCGTCAGAATCAAAATGAATGAATGAGGAGGGATGTGTACACACAATTAAAAAGAAAAAAAAAAAACAGCACGTAACACTCACATGAAAGCAACCCAAGGCATATGAAACCTGTCAGCATTAATTAGCGATAAATTAAACATAATGATTCTCTTAATGTCATTAAAGCCGATCTCCCCCTTCATTATTGCTACTGACATAAGACATTATGATTTTCAACATCTTTGGCAAAAGACAAATTCAATGGACGCACGTGGGCGGAAAAGTGGGCTTGGACTACCTGCCAGAAATCGCACGTCCACTTGTTTTTTGAGGCATTAGTAGTGGCATCTAAGAAGACAATTTCCTAAGTCCTAATCAGTTCTAAAATGAAAGGTGAAATCTTTTGTTGTATATTGGCAGCTAAATAAAATATTAACGTGGTTGAAATATACATACATTTTTGACAATGCTGTGCAAGCCTCATTAGGCCTCATCCTGTTGATGACGTGCAATACAATTTTTATTTTTCTTTTGTGCTGTGTCCCATCATTTGACAGGAAGGGAAGAGAGTGAGGCAGGAAGACAGGGGAAAAATTCAAATAGTCTCTATTTGGTTCTTATCATAAGTCATGGACATTTTAAATAAGTTTGTATCCCCTTATGGAAAGATGCAGAAAAAGGAAAGAAAAGAAAATGCACATACACACAATAAAGCTTGGATTCTGATTTGTATGCCCTTTCTCCTCTAAAATTGAGGATTCCTATGTCACTTTTAACTTAATATGTTGTCTATATGTCATTAAGAAGCCTTCTAAATGATTATCAACATTATAAATGCAAGATACAGTTTGTGTTTTCTCCTCTCATGCTGCTCATTTTTCGGACAGTTCTCTAAGACACATTTTAGGGCCTGAATCGGCATTTCCCAACCAAGCACATTAGCCAGGACAGAAAGAGCTAATTTAAACCTACTCGTGGCCCATCTGCAAACTGACAACTGGATCAAACAGCTTTCTCATTTTCTGTTCTTGCGTGGTGTCACCATGATTTGTACTGGGTTGGAAAACTCACCCCTCTTCAAGCAACATAGCCTTCTACAGAAAAAGTAGAGTGAGGGACAGAGAGGGCAGAATCTCCAAAGAAAACAAAATGGCAGCCTCCTGCTCCAGCCTGGCAAGGTGATTTAAGTGGGCAGAAGGGAAGCTGTTCAGATGAAGATCATGGTAACTGTTGCTTTCTTATTAAATCCAAACCAAAACAGTCTAACCTATCACCCAGGGAGTAACAACCTGCTCTTTAGAAAGCCAATTCCAGCGGGAACAGAGGTCCTGAAGAGGATTTATCATGGCAATTATTTCAAAAGGATTCCGTATTTATTTACGAAGTTTTTTCCATAAGTGGGCTAGAGATAGTTTCCATTCAGCCAAGATAAGGTAACGAAAGTTAATTTGAAAAATAATCAAATGTGTATAAAGTACTAACTGAATCTACACAGATGAACAAGGGAAGAACAGTCAATGAACAATGCTGATTACCGAAGAACGCCTAAGCCACAGTAGACATTTCACTCAAAAATCCCACCCCGATGTGGCCTCTCCTGCCACTTACTTTACAAATATCGGCCAGTGGTAAAGTTTGCATGACATGATTTTTAAAATAACAACCATGCAAGTCCTTTTAATGTATCAAAAAAAAAAAATGAGAGAAGGAAAATGTAAGGAAACAAACAAGCTAACAACCTCCATCCCCTTCTCCTCAAAATAATGGGAAAAACAAAACAAGCAAGCCCTTGGGAGACACTTGGGCTCCAAGTGACACCCTGTGTCTTCCCACTGCTCGAAGGCCTCAGAGGAAACAGAAGTTAAGAACATGTGTTCTTGGAAGCCCTTGGGTGAAGTGGTGGGTGGCAGCTTTTACTGTGAATTTTAAAGGTCTGACATTCCTCAAATACATATGTTCCCTTCCTGCAGAATGAGAATATGTGTACAGACATGCGAGGGATAGGGAGGGGGAGAGAGAAAAACACTGCGTGTGTGACTGTGTGTGTGTGTGTACGTGTATGTACATACACCAAATACCCTGGGAAGACACCACAATCTGAGTACATTCTGGGGTGCCAAGTTCCAATGCAGCCATGAAGAAGGCATCTTTCTAAGTTCCCATCCCTGCACACATATTCCCATGTCCGAAAAATGCCCAGCACAGAGATGATACGTGAACATGGACGTGGGCTGTATACACACACCTTCGCTTAAGAAATTCCTTTCTGCAGACAACTATTTCATGAAATGCAACAAACACCCTAAAAATTCTAAGCAGCTCATTATATACCCCCGTCTGCTTTCATGGCTCCAAGCCAGAATATAATGATGAACCTTAACTTGTTAAGAACAACTAATTTTTGTTTCTGGCTGTCTCAGGGGCTTCTCTCTTGCTCACTCTCACTTTACTTCACTGTTGACACGTTTCTGTTAACCGGATGTCATCTGCCGGCCTTGATTTTATGCACAAGCAGTAGGATGCATTTTCCTGTGCAACAATCCTGCTTTGAGTTGCATTAGGTTTGTCATTATTCTCTCATTTTCCCCCTTGCACTTGTAACATTTCATCTCTTCCTGCCTTATTTTTTGTGAGCCACGGTGCACCCACATTATGGTTTATACATGATCTCGCTCCCTTTGAAGCCGGCAGATTTCAGAGCCAGCTCTCGTCAGGAGAAGAGCCTTGCACCAATTTAGCAGGCTGAGGGCCCGGAGCTCCAACATCTCAATCTAAAGGGGGTCACAGGGTGGCACAAGTGAGTGTCAGCAAGAGCTGTTTAATTGCCAATCTAGGCTTCTCCATGGTGTTTAAAGTATAATGACCCATCACTTAATTCTGAGAAGTCCTGGCCCCACTGCTGAATAGAATGAATATCAAAGGGTATTCTGGAACAGGGCAAGCTGCCTACATTTGCTATAACTGCCATAAGTATAATAGACCTATACTTCTGTCGCCCCATTACCACAATAATGTATTTAATTTGCTGTATACGCTTTTTAACTAGCTAGCTTTCATTTGGCCTACCTGGGGAATCGGCCGCCTCTCCCCGAACCTTGAGGCCCTAACCTTTCTTCCTGACGTTCCCTTCCCTTCCTCCACCCCCCTGCCCACCTATAAATCATCGACTAACCTCCTAATGATAATTCAATCGATAAGCTTAACCCCAATCCCTATCCTGCAATTACTTCACTGCTTTTAACCTCCTGAATGCACCAAATAAACAAACATGAAAATTAACCAGATGAAATATACAAATGCTGGGACGTTAGGAGGATGAGCTGTGGACTATAAGCTGCTCAGAAACAGCTCTCTCCCTGGGAGACCCCCTCTTCATGCCCATGCTCTGCAAAGCTGTGATGACATTATTTAAGAAGCATAAGCTTCCTCTTCTCTCTAGGCCAGAGAACACATGAGCGTTTTCATGACTACCTAATACTGGCCTGCAGTTTGAAATTTGGATGACACATCACAGGTAGAAAATGGATCTCTACTACTGTGATATCCATGGCACGGTTACCAATGCTAGGTACACACGGTTTGTTTTTCCTAATGAATGTAACTCTCCCTCATTGCCAAAGTAACTGTATTCTAAGTAGGAAAAGGAGCATCTTGGCCTGTCTTTCCAGGCCCTTCCCTGGTCTTGGCTTCCCATTTGGTTGCAGGGATTGGGGAAAAAAAGCTAGGGACAGCAACCCCTGCCATGTAAGGCATGCTAATTTCATCATGTGCCATCATCAGAACGGGTTGGTGATTTCAGACCATCAGCAAAGTCTAAACCTCCACCGATTTAATTAACTTGACTGAAAATCAGATGAACAGAAAATAAAGCTATCATTAGAAACAATTAGTGACTACTTCAACATACTGCTGCCAACCAGTTTGTAAATAAACTAGCAGTCACTGAAAAATTAGCCAGAATGAATCTGAGGAAAAGAAGAACATGGGGGTAGGAGTGTATCTTGTAAATATATTTTTATGCTGAAATATAAATATATATGAATGTATAGCGCACACACATGATATTTTAACTTTCAAAGACTTAGAGCTGCACAAACCACGAGGAAACCCACCAGCTACATGTGACTATCGAATATGTGAAATGTGGCCAGTCTCAATTGAGAAATGCTGTGTGTGTAAGATACACATCCGATTTTATACCAAAGCTCAGTACAAAAAAAAAAGAACACAACGTCTTATTAATAGTTGTTGTCAGGGAGAGCATGTTAAAATGATAATATTTTGGCTATATTGCATAGAATAAAAGCATGTCATTAAAAATAATTTTATCTCTTTAAAAAAAAAAACTTTTTAAAAAACATGGCTACTATGAAATTTAAAATTCCCTCTGTAGCTCACACTATATTTCTATTGGACAGTGCTATCTTCAGGGGAGGAGGGCAATGCTTTCTTGTTGACCTGGAATCAGAGTCTGAGCTTTGAAAACACCAATAATCTTTTTTCAAACTCTTCATGGTATAATAATAAAACCATCTTCACTACCTTTTTCTTGCCAGGGACAGGACAACAGAGAAATGGCATTTTGAATAGCTTCTGTCCTATTTCTTCCTGGCCTTCTTAATTCTTTAAAATACATTGTTCAACTATGTGGCTCAAAATTTTACCCAGAAAGACACCACTTACCTTGGAATTTCAGGGAAATTTTTCGGGATTTTCTGGGAGAACAGCCTAATGCCACAATGGCTTTACATAACAGAACTATACATAGCCATGGTCCCTGGGTGGCTTGGTGGCCATCTAGAGAACTTCCTGAGAAGTCCCCTATGGCCTTGGATGAAGGCCCTGATTCTTGGAACTTACCTGGACATGGAAGCATTGACGGTCAGAGCTGTGGGGTAGGGGTGTCTGAATCCTCCTGTCGTGATTGGGTACACTGGTTGACCTTGCCTACAAAGAAGGGGTACAAAGTAAGAGACTTGAAACAAGGGTGGGGGTGGGGACAAGAAAAAGAAGAAAAGGGAAAAGTTCTCTCTGCACAGTAAGCTTTATTCTCATTTGATCAGAACAAAAATCTTGGGGATTGTACAGGAAGGATCAAAGGGAAGAAACACAGAACAATTTGAATGCCATAAATCTGATAGGAATGGCTAATTAAATTTTATAACCTCTGCTTATGTCAATAGAGACCCTCTCCCCAAGCTGAAACTAGGTGTTTTGTTGTAATAATTAAAGGCGAAGTCTCGCTTGCTTTAATGGAGCCATCACACTAATTGAGGGCTACACATCCAAAGGAAAACAATAATGAATGTAAATTTATACCAAAATAAAGTACAGTGAATCAAAGGACTTCAGTTGCGCTTTGGGCCTCTTTCGGTATTTAGATCTCGGTGAGAAAACATTAAATTAACAGAGCTTAATTTGTAGCCTTTTGTCAAATTAACAAGTGTTGACAAGAGTTACCGGGGGGGAGCGTCCCCAAGAAGAATTGTGGGTAACCAATAGACAATCACACCTCATTACAATAATTAAAAAATACAGCAACATGCAAAATAGCATCCTCATGAAAGACACACAACTTTTTCTGACAGAGGGTTGTCTGAGTTGGCTATTCTTTTTTATCTAGCCTTCAAATCTCTCTCCATCAGCTGAATGGGGCAAATGATCACTGAGAACCATTTGAAGGTTGGCCCCATCGATTTAGAAGAAATGGATCGCAAGCTCATGTTCATGTGTACCCTCCAAATAAAAATAAGAAGAGACAAACAGAAACTACACCCAGGGTTGGTATTTGGTATAGCTACTACATAATGCAATCTGTTGTTGTCATTGTTTAAAAAAAAAAAAACAAAACAAAAAACAGCATAGACTCTATCTAACTAGAGAAATATGGATAGAATTGCTGGATGAGCCACTCCAAAATTTTATTTTCCATAAGGCTTTGAAAAGGCCGTCTTCTCCAAGACTCAAACCTGAGTTTTACCAGGATTTATTCCTTTTAGCATTCAATGTATTGCCCTGTGTTGTTCAGAGTACAGATTACTTATAAACATGGAGAAATATATCCACTGAAACATACAATCACAAAACACATATTATACACAGGCTCATGCAAAAATACAGACATGCAACCTGCAACAGTATGCTAATGCGTCAAAGGCCTTTCTACTCTGAATTTAAAACAGTTTTTTAAGCTGCAAAAGACAGTCAAATAATCTGGGCACTGCCAGCAACTAGGATTGATGCTTACGAAGGCCTCACATGGTACAGGAAGGGTTCCAGCTGCCCCATTCCCACCATTCACAGTTAGGTAAAACATTCAACATGCAAAAACATTCAACATGAGAGAGATGCTCATTCAGTCCCATGGAGCAAAATCTTCCACTGTTGCTATCAACCTTGGGAGTCATGTTCGGGATGAAGGGGGGTGCTCCTGGAATTGTATTAGAACATGCCCTAATCCCAACCCTGGACTTCAAAACAAAGTAGTTCTTGTCCTCGCTTCTGTGCCCCCAAATATGCAGTATCTAAAAGGCAGGACTCGACAGCCTCAACCCAGTAACACGACTGCAGTTTGGGCAGCCACCAGTGGAAGGGTCATGATCAACTGCACTGGGTGGGAAGTCCCAGGAGTCTTCTACAATTCCCAAAGGAACTCGAGGGCACCTCTGTCCACAGAGCCTTTAGGGACCATGGTCTCGGAATGCTAAGGACCAATAACTCTTTTCCTACATAATCCACCTAAATGGCTATGGATCTGCCTGTATTCCCACAGGATACCTCTGCCACACCTTTCCTGTGCCCTCCCACAGCCCCTTCCCCAACCCGCCTTCACACACACACACACAGAATAAATAATAAGCATGCCCATGTAAGAAACAAAAAGGAAATTAAAAAATGGAACTCCTTACTGTGGTACTAACCATCCTAGCGGATGGGGGATTTGTCCTACGGTGCCAGGTGATAGCGGGTAATACGGGGATATATCTGGAGGGTGCGGAGGCCGTGGGATTCCTGAGGGAAGAAGCAGCATTTTAGGTACAAAGGAGGGAGAGAAGGAAAGAGCAACCATCAGGGAACGGGAACAGGGAAAGGAGAAAAAGATGCATCTTTTCTGGAATCCTAGCACATGGTTCATTCGTGATTACAAGTCCTAAAATTTGTGGGTAGGTTTCATCTCATTTTCCCTCAGTCTCAGTTTGAAAAAGTAATTTATCTCCTTCTAAATGGACTGCTCTACTGGGGAGACTCAGAATACACCATCTTGGGTATTTCTGTCCCCTGTCACTGGTGTGACTGCTTCAAGTTTAAAAGAAACAGCATCACAAAGGCTCAGAACCTGGTGGGTAATGAAGCAATGGTAATTCCCATTGCTCTTACAACACTGGCCCTTCGCCCTGTGGAGTTTAATGCCTTACCTGCATGACAGCTGCTCTTCTGATTTCTAACACACTTTTTGAGCTGTGATATTCAAAAGGTTACTACCCTTGCCTTTTTTTCAAAAAGGGTAACTCCTCTAAAATGTCTCTGCCTCCATTTGGATGAGCTGGAGAAACTGATCAAATGCCACGTGGCATCTTATCCAAGGTAGAATTAGAGCTGAACAGAAAAGGAGGTGTTGGAGGCCTGTGTACTCCGTTCCGGAACTTCATCCACTAGAGGACAGTCACCTGTGGGAATTAAGCCTACCCGCTGAATGGGCACCTTGTGTGTCGCAGGGGCTAAGAGCCTCACAAGGCACACACGAGTGGATACTCCAAGTATGCACCACCGCACACTTGCCAGTTCCACAGGAGTACACCCCGCAGTCGATTCTGACAGGGAGGAACTGATCTATGCAGTTGAAGTGGGAAGCGAAAAGCACAATACCACAGAATTAAGACAGAATATTGGAGGGAACGGGCTGCATGTTCGTGGATGAAAACGACTTCATTTTTTAAAAAATTCATTCAGGAAGCTTTTAATCTGTAAATTAAGTCTCCCTGGGTGACATTTTCATGCAGACATTGCTTTCTCTCTATTACAAAAACCAAACAGATTAGCTGGGCTTGGACCCTACACCGAGCCATTTCCACACTTGAAAGAATGTTCGCAGAGGAAAAGTAAACAGTCCACAGACGTTAATCATATGTTTTACGATAACCATTTAAAAGCTATTCCCTGTACTACCATTATTTAAATGAGACGTTGACGCTGCCATTCACTGGCGGAGCCTGGGGCCCGTTGGAGGAGGCCGCCAGGCATCCAAGCTCCAGGCTCAGTCTTGCACTAGCCCAAAGGGGCTCAGAGACCAGTAAAACCCAGCTCATGTGTGGCTTCCTTCAGGGCAGTGGAGGCCACCGAACCAGGCAGCCTACCTAACCCAACTACCAATCCCCTTTAACAAAGTGATGAGCGATCCCACTTTAAACCCATCCTTACAATTACTGAGCTGAAAAGGAGAACCCCAATGAACACACTGAGCAGCCTGAAAGACATGTGCTAACCTTACCTGTTCTCCTGAGGCCACCCCACCAGGAGCTGGGGCTGCCTGCCTGATTTCAATCTTGTTAGAGGAGGGCTACAAGTAACCCCACCTTCTCTCCCTCTCCTCTTTGGGAAAAAAGCAGTCAATGAACAAGTGGGATAGAAAGGAGACGTTAGGCTGGGCATGGTGGCTCATGCCTGTAATCCTAGCACTTTGGGAGGCCAAGGTGGGCAGATCACTTGAGGTCAGGAGCTCGAGACCAGCCTGGCCAACATGGCAAAACACTGTCTCTACTAAAAATACAAAAATTAGCCAGCCATGGTGGCACATGCCTGTAGTCCCAGCTACTTGGGAGGCTCAGGCAGGAGAATCACTTCAACCCAGGAGGCAGAGGTTGCATGGAGCCAAAATCATGCCACTGTATTCCAGCCTGGGCAACAGAGCAAGACTCTGTCTCAAAAAAAGCGGGGGTGAGGGGGATGTTGAAAATCGTGGCAACTTCTCCCCCGACACCCATTGGTCGTTCTATGAAGAAATGAAGAAACCTGCCTGGGCTTCGGTATTCACATCTGGAAAATGGGCTCAACAATACCTAGAATATTGTAAGGAACAAAGAACCTAAATAAATTAGCAAAGGAAATGCAGAATCCAGCGATGTGGCTTTTTGAGGCTGTATCAACAAGTCATTGTCAAGTGACTGGAGGCTCTTAGCCACCAAGGGAGCCAAGGCTCAGGAAGCCATGCTATCCCATCTTCACAGGAAGCTGAGGAGGAACCCATGAAATGCCTTCAATATGATTCCTGCATCCAAGTCTGTCTGAGGCTCTTAGAGTTAAAAGCCACTCCTGGAACAACGTACTGAGGACTCATAGCTGAGTTCCCCAGACAGCCCCTTCAAGGTACTGCAAACGGTAAAGAGATCTTTAACACTGTAAATGGACTTCTCCAAAGGGAGTGGAAAACCACTCCCGCACCAGGCCTGGACCACCCCAAAGAGCTTCCTTTTCAACACCCAGAAAAGCAACAGGAGCCCCCCCCCGCATTGTACCCACCCAGTCCCATAGTGCCCCGCCCCCAGGCTTCCTGTGGAAGCCCTCAACAGGTCCTCTGGACCCCCAGGACCAGCACTGTGCCTCGGCACCCAAGCCCACAGCCTACCTGTTTTGGGGTCTACGTCAGCTGGTAAGTGCGGAGGTGGGTTTCCCGGCGTGAAGTGTTCATTGCTGTATGTGATAAGCGGCGTGAGGGGGTGGACATGGTGAGGGTGCTGCACCACCGGCACTTTGTTCGACTGTGGGGAGGAGAACACAGAAAGACACCATCAAGCCAGTTCCAGCAGCCAAGGCTTCAGAGCACCAGGCCCGCGCGTTCCCCTGACCACAGCCTCCCACCAGGATTTTGTAGGAGGCACTCAACTCTGCCCGTCCCCAACTCCCCCCAGCCCACATGAAAATAATAGATAGTTGTAAGACAGCTCTCTGGGTGGATCCGCTTTAGTTTTTACTTCAACACTGAGCCTGGCTTTAAAAATACCTTCTCCCTACCCTATCATGGAGCCCAAGTGTCTGCACTTTTCCCAATGGCAGGTGAGTCGGAGGTGGGGACTTTAATCTCCTAGGCATACTGCGTTTCTGCATGTTGGGGGAAACTCCTACCCTAAGGCCCCACCTCCAGGAGGCAGGCAGGCTACACAGAGGACCATCTAGGAAAACCACCACTTACAAGAAACCCGGCAGGGCCCAGATCCCACCCAGCCAGCCCCCTTAGCCACCCCCCACAGCTCCTACCCACCCCCCCCGCCCTTAGAAACAGCAGGCATGCTACAGTCCTTCACAGACAGCGTGGATGCAAAGCCCCACTCCTGGTTAGGGTGGGAGTGTGAACTTTACCAGAAAGCTCTAAACTGCCTGGCAAGCACCTGCATATTTTATGCAGATTACAGCAGCCCTGATTCATTAGGAATTTCATTAGAAAGTCATCTGGGAACGCTAATACATTAACTGGATGATGATGAATTGAGCTAATAAAAGGTATGCATTTTAGAAATGGGCAGTTCTAGAAAACAAAGTACAGGCATTTTTGTGTTTGGAAAGGGTGGGTCAGTGGAAAGAAGCAGGGGGTGGGGCGGGGGGGAAGAAAAGCATTTTGAAAATGTTTCTAGTGGCCATGCCCAGGCTTTCCCAAATGATTCTCCTCTCTCCCCCACCTCAGGCTCAGCCCACCCCTCCCCCTCCACTATGCTGTGCTATAACTTAGCCCAGCAAGATCACAAAGAAAAAATTAAGCTGAAACAAGCGAACTACTGGGCCATTTACTGAGAGTAATCCAATTGCAAAAAACCCTATTCCCCATAGAGGATTTTCACTAAAATCCTACAACAGGGACATTTAACCAGATTAGGTACCAGCGAAGATAAAGAGGCAAGTATTAGATGATGAATGGATTAGAGTCAAGTTTCATTTCAGAACGTGTCTTCATTTCCTTTTATTACTTTTAGGAAGGCACAACTTGCATTAACATCAAGGAAAAGGAATTGCATTAAAAGAAAAGAAGGAAGGTTCAAGTGCTGCCCACTAGCGCCTGTTGAGTTCAGGGATCACTCGGCAGTTCCTTATCCTTACTGTTTCTCTTGTCCTTTTTTTTTTTTTTTTTTTTTTTTTTTTAAATGGGTGAGGAAGGAATGTAATATAGGAACAGCATTTCATACCACAAGTGATTGAGGGGAAAGCATCTTTTTAAAAGTGCTTTTAACTTTTTCATGGGTATTTGTGGAAAGAAAAATAAGGCCTTATCTCTAGATACTCCAGGAAAAAAACTACAGAAAAAGAAGTCAATGCTTCCAACAGCCTGGTTTACCGATGTATAACTGGACTCTTGGAGAAAAGGGATGGCAGGTTGCTTACAGGAGCTTTGTGTTATAAGCTACCATGTTGCAATCAAAGCAAGTAAGTTAAAAGCCACCAAAGCAGAGGGACTTTGGAAACCAGCAATACTTCCTTAGAAGGGGCAGCCATGAAGAGCTGGGCAGGCCATGGCCAGGGTGAAGGGCTGCTGCCCCACGGCCAGAGCTGGCAGCTCATGTTCAGGCACGGAGGATTCCTTAAGGGGAGCATTTGCTCAGAACAACTTGAGAATAAGGAACAAGCAAGCTCCCACTGTGTGCTGATGTGGAGAGGGAAAAAAGAAAAAGAGAGGAAGGGAGAGAAAGAGACAGACACTGACAAAGTGAAGACCGTTAGGAGGCAAAGAAAATGAGTGTTGCTGCCTTCTGGAAGTCTTCACTTTGGTTGGAAAGACACATACCCAGTGACGTGAAAGAACGCAGGCCAGCTCCAGACAGTTTCAAGTGAGTGTGAAAAAACACCAGGGCTAGTGGGGAGAACCACACATAGCCCAGAGAAGGGAAGATGACCACTAAGGGGTGGAAGGACTGGTCAAGTGCAATGGGAACAGGACCACATCATCAATGAGAAGCAGCAAGGGGGTGTATCCTCATGGGAGGAGAAAGGGCAAGTGGTGGGCATCAGAAGCAGCAGTCAGCCCGGAGTCACGCATCTCTCAGGATGCTTCTCATTAATTCAGATCCCCCAATCCTAAGAAATCTCTCAGGAAGGCCTGATTCACTCACACTGGGTCTGGGCTCAGGACCCAGGCATCTTGGGAGCCACCTGCTGCTGGGTGTTGTGGGCGGTTCTTGTGTTCAGTCATGAGGACCACATGTGTACAGGCAAGCACAGAGGTAAAGAAACATGAGCTCTGATCACAAATTAAGTCCTAGTTCTTAAGGGACCCAGAAAAAGACTTAGCACAGAACCTAGCACATAAGTTTGTGATTTATTATCTATTACAGTGGTTTATTATTGTTATTTTTATTATTAGGGAGAAGCTGTCCAGAAGACATGATCTGTGTCTTCAGCAAAGAAGCACAAATCCCACAGCTATCTTCTAAGCAGGACTAATGGGAGATGTAGGGAAAAACCTCTTGCTCTACTTTACAACAAAAGAGGAAGATAGCATTTGGGCATCAGTGGAGTTAACTGAGTGTGAGATTTAAAAATTAAGTCTCCATCTTCTTAGATATACATATGAGGGTGATTCCAACAGAATGTGGAGACCTGTGTTCTGGCTACCAACACCTCTCTCTGTATTCTTTTGCACACCTAAGCCTAGCCAATTAGTTTTTTCCTGTTCAGTCAAAACTATATCTTGGAGGTGGGGTGGGGAGGGGGTAGAAAGCCAGAAGTTTTCGGTGCTGCCTGGCTTTTAGGGGAAAAAAATGGGACCCGTACTAGGACTAGCCCTACTCCTTTCCAATCTCAACTGTATGCCAGGCAGGTCCCTGTGAAAGAACCAAACTTCCTCTCAAGTTCATGGTTCTCTTCCAAGAGATGGGAACTCTGTGGTCATGCCTGCCAAAACCAGAAGTAATTGCCCCTCCATCCAACCTGCCTCTACCTGGAATCCTCTTAGGATGGGAGGATTTTTTTCTTGCAAATGCCTGTCTCTCTCCAGCTTTAGACCCCAGAGCCCTTTCTTCCTACATCACATGATGCCCATTGCTGGGGCTGTGTGCGTACCCTTCCTGGTCCCACTATACCTAAGATTCTTAGGGACGAGGACTATGTCTTCTAGAAGTGTGTGTCCCCCAAAGTGCCCAGCCGGTGGAATGGTGAGCACATTCTCCTCAATTGCATAAGAACCACCAAATCGCAACTGCAAGCATTAGAGGAGAAAGAAGAGTCAATCACAGATTCGTTTCATGTAAATGGCGGTGCTCTTTAAATGTAGTCTCTTTAGAATCACAGAACAGAGCCTGGTGGTCCCTCTGGTCCATCCAATGCAACACCCTTGCAGACCCTATCTCAATTACAACTGTGCCTTTAGAAGGGTTTTGTACACTGGCATTGTACACAGTGATTCAAGAGCTGAATTCAAGGAAGACCGGGGTTATACTTCTTCCTCACCAGCCTGGCTGTGTGACCTCTTCTCAAGACTTCCTCTGTCTCTGTCAACTCTGGATGAGAATCGTGTCTACCCTGTAGGGTTGTGAAAACTGAATAAACCTGCACCTAACGTATTTAGCACAGCGACAGGCACAAGCTAAACATACAATAGAAAGATGCTTTGAAAAATGCAATCCGATGAATACTAACGATGATGCTGTTCACTATCCCTCTAGCCTCCTCTGACTGAATTCACAGCGGGAACACACAGCCACGGATTCCACTCCTGATTTCAAAGGTAAGGATGCTCGTTTGTGGGGCAAGATTGTTCTAGATGATTAGTGGCACCCTCCTCAGGCACACGCCCTTCTTCAACATGTGATATTTGATTAATCCATATATTTTAATATCACTTTGAGAAAAAGTCATCACTGTATTATGCCAATAAATGAGACACAGAGGAGCTAAAAGTTTAAAAAAAAAAAAAAAAAAAGGCAGCTAGAGATGACCAACCACAGTCCCTTCCAGGTTAGGGCAAAGGCCTTTAAGAGGTGACACAAACGAAACACAAAAGAATCCAAATAGAAAGATGGTCTCTTAGATGTTCTCCTCTTTGAACACCTCCCACCTCTCTAAAGAGGTCTTTAAGAATTGTGTTCAAAACCCCACCACCCTAAGAAAATTCAGATGTGAGAAGTAACTTGGTTGCAACATAGACAACCTTCCAGAAATGTATTCATGGCAATTCAATTAGCAGCTGCTATCCATGCTGGGAGTGCTGGTGGGCTCAACAGCCTGCAGTACTGATTCCCTCCCTGTGACATCTCTTTAGAAACAGAGCCCAATGTACAAGGGAAATAGCTCAACATAAGGCCAGGTACCTTTTGGGGAACTATTTTACCTAAATACGTCTTTAAAACCACATGGGGATACAAAATCATTACAGCCAGTAACAGCAAACCCATGTTCAAGGTCATGGGCGCCATGGTCAAGGAGAGCTGTTTGATGAGCCTGCGTTGCTGTGTTGAGCTCTTTGAAAATGTGGTGAAAACTGACTCTCTGAGCCACAAAAACAGCAAACACTCACATAAAAATAACTCTCATAGTCTCAAAACTGTTACGCCACAACTGCCAAGTCACACCACCACCATCAGCTTAGAGCACCTTTTGTAGACGAAATGAGGGTGGGATGGGGACTGACCCGCTTCTCGCCCTGAAGCACTACCATCCACGTCAGCTCAGCTCCGGGTGGCCTTGGGCTCTGTGTCTGTGTGCCTCTGTGTCGAGCGCATGACATGCTTTATTCTAGGAAAGCCCCACAACGAGCCTATGAAGTAGTCGGCATTTG